AAAAAAAACTGTGGGTGAAGAAGGGAAACAATTTACGAGGGGCGGACCTACGGGTGGGAAGTCACTTGTCATGCGTGAGTAGGCTAGGGTGGGGGGGTATGACTCTACGGAAGGAAAAGAGTTTAGAGGAAGAACACAGGGAGGATTGACGCCGGTTAGGGATCGAGTTTCAAGTTGCCAGTAAGTCGGACTCGACGTCTGTTTAGACCGCAAAACTCGTCAGGCAAACGGCTACACGCCGATTTTGCTATGACATAACAAGGCAATGGCCTTGTTGGCAACTGCTAGGCCGGCCTCATTTGCATTTAATGTGATTTCATGTTTATTTAAATCAGTTTACTTTTATGATCTATAACATTGATGTTTCAAAACTTTGTTATTAAATATTAACAATACTGAAAAACATGGGGAAAATCTTAATTTTATTTTTATATTTTATTTATATATCTTTTAGTTATATCTTTATATGTTTCAAGGAAGTAGTCTAGTTCCGTTTCGCACGTGCCCTTAGGACGGGAAGAAAGCTAGGACAAAACACTTTATCCTCCTTCCGTGCTTGTCATTCAGTTAAGATAGGGTAGGGAAAACGAGGTTGAATACGAACAGAATCAAAAAAGTTTTTGAAAAAGTTTTTTTGAAAAAACGTTTTAGGGAATACTTAAATGTTTTGAAAATTATTCAAGTTGAGTTTAAAGAAATTTTTTACCTGGTAATGAGGGCTATCATGTTTTCTATAAAATTTTTTAGTAGACAAAGTCATATTACCACTCACCCATTACCTTTTCTTCTTATCCTCGTCTTCGAACAAAAGATGTGCTTTGTACTTATAAAATTTTGATTATGTTCAAATTTAATGAAAACACTCACCGTTTGTTGACCGCATTCTTGCACAGCATTGGAATAAATGAAATGAGTTTCTCAGTGTTCTGTTTATAGGTTTGTTTATCTTGTTTATCATTGCATCACTTTCCAATGGAATCATTTTTAATGGAAAATAACAATTTGTTGGTTTAGTCCTATTTGTATTCCAAGCTTGATTTATCATATTTCAATGACATTATGGTTGCGTTTTTGACGTAAAATGGTGAAGATTTTTAGACAGAGCGGAGAATTCTATCTAGTTGAAGTTCATATTTATGAATTATGAAATTATTCTTGGTTAAACATTTCATGAAACAATTAGAAAATGTTTCGGCTTCATAACCTGACTCTATTAACTTTTTGTTAGTTAGTTTTAATCTGTCTATGAAATCCTCCACGCTGGAGACATGGTTCTTAGCTGTTCTAAGAATTCCTGAAGTCAGATTTGTATTTAATTTAATTTAATACGGCATGAAATGTTTGTAGATGCGTTAGGAAAACGTTTTATTGAAAAATTAAAACTATCTGTTTTGTTATACATTTTAGTATATATTTTGTTGCTTTGAATTGAGCAACTTCAAAAAACAGCCCAAATAAATTGTGCGGCTTACCCCAAAAAAAAATGCTCTTCGCGGAGAGCTTGTGCTTCATCCTATACAGTACTTGAATGGCACGCGGGCGCCCTTTGGAAAATGTAGTGGTTGTTGGAAAAATGTGTGGAGAGAGAGGGTGGCCTAGAGAGAATTGGTGAGAGAGAGAAGGGTGCAAAAGAGACGTCGGCAAAGGTAACTAAGGCCTTTCTATCCCCATAAAATCAAAAGTATCAGTTGACTAGGCGCTCTCGTCCAGCTGGTTCCCTTACAATGAATTCTACGACACCACAAGTGACAATGAAGCTTCCATTTCATGCGGCACGTGCGGTGGAATCGTTTTTTGGAAGGTGGAATTTGAAGGCAGAATCTGGGGGCGAAGCCACTGGCAAAAAGGCATCACGGTATAGAAAGGTTGCGGCCTGCTATTGGCCCTGCTATATTGCGACTTCACGCCGCAAAACTGGTAAACACGTTACTGGTCTTACTACGGACCAAATACTGGGCTTTAAGTTTCAGCCAGAACTACATGGGAATACAGGGTGGCTCTGCAAAGGCAGCAACTTTCCGATGGATAATTGACTACATGCAATTGGGATAGGTCTCCTAGAAACTAGTGGTAGCTATGCGGAGGAGAGGGGGGCGTGAGGCTTCGCTACAGCGATGGAAGGAAGATGAGCAAAGGCTGCACGTCTCTGCAGAACTTATCAAGAAAATTATCGGGACCTAGACGTATAGATCACTCTTCTAGTACAGATAATCGAGAAACATGTTAATGAGGCACAACATAATTTACTGTGAACCCTCTTCATCTCCTTCGCGAGAAATCTATTGAAACAGCAGGGGCGCTTGAAGAAAAAAGGAAGAGGCTTAGCCACAGCTACGCTAGGGCATTGCCCAGCAGTCTTCGCGCATGTGAACGGAAGGCATCTCAGGAAGTACTAAACGCCACCGCTATTCCATGATAGGCAAAAAAATACCATGGTACTATCGAGGCAGAAAAAGCAGGAGTGCATTATTATCCAAAAAAGGAAATGATTTTGGGAATAGGACGGGGTTTTGGAAGTAGCCCACGCGCGCCCGCTTTGTTGTAAGATAGCAAGACAGATAGGGGCGTATTCAAAACACGTGATAACGACGCGATCCGATACACAGGCAATGTCCCGCCCATGGCCCCAATACCCCACCCCCGACTTTCATTTCTATAGGTTTCCCAAAAGTTCGATTTCTTCCGCTACTATCTTTCTTGAGTGAGAAGGATGAGAGTGAGGTGATGAGCGTAAACAGTAGTGGTCCGAGCAAGTGTGAACTCGTCCGAGCACACCTTCTCGTCGCCCCACGCCCTTACGAAAGCGACTCGGCAAAAGGTTTTATATAAGGTCATTTTGAAATGGTTTCGCTTTACTACTGCGTTAAGTACATCTTGCCATTACTTTTTTTAGTCACTACCCACCGTTTTCAATCGCGAGAAGTGCCTTTGGGTAGGGTAATGGTATGTGGGGAGACTTGTTTGGCGCAGCAAGGTGAAAGTCTGCCCTTCCCCCCTTTCACAGCACGTCAGTAGACAACGTCTGTTCCCGCTGATGCTCCAAGGCATGTAACGCAATGCACAAAGGTGGCCATTAGGGGATTCAGCTGCTCACGGGTACCACGCCATGCAATGATTTGCGAAGGTGTCGTGACGTCATCACGATGTACACCGTAATGTAGCAGAACTGTGAGGAGGCGGCACCGAGGAGTCACAGCTGCGCCAGGGAGCGGCTCACGAGGAAGGCGTGCCGAGGAGTCGGATCGGTCGTAGCTCCCTCCCGAGGTAAGTCGCGAAACCATATCTTTCTCTGCCGGCTGCTCAACACGAACGAACGAGCATCGAGAGATCAGCGCGGAACGATAATTGTAGTCTTCTTCGTAGTATTTGTAGTTGTTCGATCCTTCATTCTATAAACCAGTAACTTTGTGTGTCGGTTTGTATGTTTGTATGTATGTCTGTCCGTCCGCAAAATACTTCACGGGTTCGAGTTCGCTGGAGGAGAAAACGACCGCTAGGCAAACCGGTAACCGACTGGGAGGATGTAGCAATCCAATGATTTGATTGTGATAACAGCCTCCGCTATATAAGACAACCATTCGGTACACTCCGAGCCATTGCACGAGCTGCTGGCGTGGCAGCTGGACGTGTGCTCGTGCGGGGGCAGGGTGGGGGTGCCAGGTCGCCCTGCCTCCCTCTCCTGCACGTGCTCAGCCGGAGCTGAGCACATGTATGGGAGGGAGGCAGAGGGGAAGGGGCCGAAGGGGTACACGGAGGGGTGCGTAGCGCGCGCTTGAGTAGAAACGCGCAGCAAAGGAGGAGGAAACAACCGGTAAGAAAACCGCTGGCTAATCCATGTTACCATTACGAACTGAAAAGTTGTTTTAGTCATGACAACATTCTCCACGATATAAGAAGACCACCACACTCCGTGCCATGCTTGGGTTGCTCAAGACCACCACACTCCGAGCCATGCTTGGGTTGCTCGTGTGGCAGTTGGTGAGCGCGTGCAAAGGGCAAGATGGGGAGGGGAGTGGCGAGTACGGAATGGTGTGAGGTGAGGAAGATGGGAGTGGGTACCGAGTGACCCCTTCTCCTATCCTCACTACCTTGCGCGTGCTCAGTCGAATTTGAGCCCATGCAGAGGAGGCAGGCAGAGGGATTGGATCGGGCAAACTGGGTACACCAATGCGGTATGTAGCGTAGGAGCAGGAAGCAAGAGAAAAGGTAAAGAACCGCTAGCAAAACTGCAAGATAATCCATGTCGCATCGACGAACTAAGAAGTTGCTTGGATTGTGATATCGCTCTATGCTATACATGACAACCACTGTGATAGACTCTTAGCTATTACACGAGCTGCTCGCTTGGAAGCTGGACGTGGCACGAGCAGGGCGGTGGTAAGAGCAGCGGCGGGGAGTGTCCTATGTTGCACCAGCTGTTCACGTGGTAGTGACCACGTGCGGGAGTGGGCGATGGTTAAGTGGGTGAGTGGGATGATGTGGTGACGTACCAGATGAGTACGGCGAATCCGCGATCAGTAGCACGTAGCGACTGCGGCGGTAAGGCGTCTACGGTTGCGATAAGATGAGAAGAAAATGGATCGACCGCAATCGGAACTGAACCGATTAATGTTGCATTATCAAATTGTGGTAGCGTTTTGATAGTCATATTTTGATCATAACACCCTCCACAACATAACACAACCATTTAGTGCACTCAGAACCATTGCACGGGCTATTCGCGTAGCAGCTGAGCGTGACCTAGGGTGGCTGAGCGGGGAATGGCTGAGCTAGTTTGGGGATAGGTGGAGTGAGTGGGTATCATATTAGGCGTGATCGATGCCCGCCTGAATAGGAGCACACGGACTGCGGAGACCGAAACATCCATGGATGACATAAGTTGAAGAGGAGAGTAGGACTGCGAACCCGTTGATGTATCAATTTCTGGATATCAGTTGAAAAAGTTACGCGCAATGCACTGACTCCGAGCAGTTACATTCATTCAAAAACCTAACTTTGCAATGGACGGTTTCAACTCATCAAATTCTTCTCAGCCGACCCAAGAAGATGGAAGGTTGGTTCTCTCTAATGAAAATGTTAATCAAAGTTCTGTGGTTAGAAATCTTTCTGAAAATTGGTACTCTTTTTTCTCCGGGAATGATCCCTAAAGTGTAGGTACTCTCCAGACTCGATGGGTTATGGATCAATTTATATTTCTCTTCAAAACAGAGGATTCTCTAGGGCTGAACATTCGGAAATCTTCAATAAAATGCCAGTGATAATAGCACTCTTGAAGAAAAATGACTGAGCACAGCTTAATAATTACCAGATTCCCTGAGACAGGGCACCTCGTTTACCCCAACCAATGTCGAATCACCTAGACACAATGGGTCTGCGTGTTTCTGATCATGACGCATTTTCTTCGGACCGCCCAATGAGGTTCATTTATATGGCCACGACCAATTTTTCCAGAATTGGCATTGAAAAAGGCGACCTATGGTTTGCAATCGCAATTGTCTCAGTAAATGTAGGTAGAAGGTGACAAAAATATCGACTTTTTGGCACGTTTTTGGGTATCTCGCAGGAACCTCTGAATGTCAAAGAACATTGTTTTGCCACCATCAAAAGATTTGGAAATATAACTGATTTGACCCTGTAAAGAGTCTCCCATGCAAACAGGTGAGCTTAGCTCGTGAAATACCTTGGGAAATCCTGCGTTGAGTTTTTGAAGACGCTAACGCCTTTTACATTCAATAATCCGTACACAAGCCCGTTCCTTCAAAATCTTTAGGAGAAGAAGACAGTCTCAGTCTGAGGCTGAAAAGCGAATCTCTGAGCTACCGAGAGAGGGAGGCTGCCAGAAAGCGAGCCAGAAGAGAAAATGAAAGTGCCGAAGAGAGGCAGAGAAGACTCCAACGGGAGGCTGAGCAGAGAAGGAGAAGACGTGCACAAGAGTCGCAAGAGGAGAGAGATGTTCGACAGTCAAGGAGACGCAGAAAGAGCTAGAATGCGCAGGGAACAAGAAAACGCAACTCAAAGAGGTGCCCGCCTGTCTAGGATTGCCGAGAGAGCTCGAACCCGAAGAGAGCTGGAGGATGAATGAGCAGAGAGAGGTGCGTCTGGCACGACTTGCTGAAGAAGCTCGAATTCGAAGAGAGCTGGAGGATGATGAGCGCAGGGAAGTGCGCTTGGCAGAAGTTGCTGAACGAGCTCGGGTTCGAAGAGAGCTGGAGGGTGATGAAGACAGAGAAATGCGCCTGGCAAGTCTAGCTGCAAGAGCTCGAGCCCGAAGGAGCTCAGAGGACGAGGAGCAAAGGGTCAGTAGATTGACGCAAGAAGCGGAAAGATCGAGAATGCGGAGGCAGCTAGAAAATGAAGAAAATCGAGAGGCCCGCAGAGCGGAAGATGCTACCAGAGCCAGGGTACGTAGAGAGGGAGAAGATGAGGAGCTGCGGCAACAACGCAACTTTGCTTCAGCTCAACGGGAGCGCACGCGGAGGGTTCTAGAGACATCGGCAGAAACTGAGGAAAGACGACGTCTTGAGGCTGGACGTTATCATGCCCGCAGCACAGCTATTTCACTGCGAACACGGAGGATGGCTAGGAGTAATGTAGATCCGGAAGAGCATTATAGTGGGACGGATGGATGTGTCATGTGGAAGTTGCGGAGCAAAGCACTTTAGAGCGGAATCGAAAGGCAGGGCGACTTTTAACGACTGCTGTAATCACGGTAGCATCAGTCTGCGGCATTTTAGAAACTATCCTGCAGAGCTACGCGAACTGCTAACAAGTCAGGAAGCTGAAGCAAAGCAGTTCCGTGAGCATATTCGTAGTTACAATAGCGCGTTTGCATTTGCCTCTATGGGTGCACAGCTGGACACACCACGTGGACATGGCCCGTACTGTTTTCGCATCCATGGGCAGATCTACCACAGAATCGGACCTGCCCGTCCGGAAAATGGTCAACCTCACCGCTATGGCCAGGTGTACATTCTTGACACGTCCATGGCAGCAGAAGAAAGAATGGGAAATCCGGCAAACGCACACTGTGACCCACGGCTTATGCATTCCTTAAGTGAGCTTCTGCATGGAATCAACGCCTTTGCCGAGGCATACAAAATGATGAACGAAGTAGCCATAGAGGAAGAATTGCGAGCTTCAAGGGAAGGGAGATCTGCGAAACCAGTGAGAATGGTATTCGAAACACCAGCCAACGCGGACCGACGTCGGTACAACGTCCCTGTAGCCAACGAGGTGGCTGTGATTTACGTTGGAGACGACGGGGATGTACCCGCCGAACACAGTCTTGCAGTTCATTTGAGGTCAGGGGGGCTGCAGACCATCAGAGTCATAGATCCGGAGTGCGATCCCCTCACATACCCTATATTTTTCCCGCATGGAGAACTAGGCTGGCACCCGAACATGCTCAAAAATCCCTCGGAAAGAAGGCGAACCAGAATTACTCAAAAGGAGTACTACTCCAGCATGATCGCCAGCACGAGATGACTTCAACCCACTTCACTCTGCGGGCAAGCTTTATCAACAGTTCTTGGTGGACAGCTATGTTAAAATCGAGCAGAACCGACTAAACTATGATCGAACCCACCAAATGGAACTCAGAGTGGACAGCTATCGTGGGTTAGCTGATTACGTGGCCGGTGACAGCGACATCGGAGGCCCGCCAGGAATAAGGCGAGTGATTCTACCGTCGTCATTCCCAGGATCGCCTCGGGCAATGGTCCAGAATTATCAAGATGCGATGGCCATCGTGTCGAAATATGGAAAGCCAGACCTCTTTATTACTTTTACGTGTAACCCGACGTGGAGAGAGATCGCCGAGCAACTGAACCCTGGACAGACCGCTTCCGACAGGCCGGACATCGTTGCTCGCGTTTTTAACATCAAGTTACAAGAACTTTACTGCGATCTATTCAAGAGGCATATATTCGGAGCGGTGAGTGCGTACATCTCCGTAATGGAATGGCAGAAGCGAGGACTCCCGCACTGCCACATGTTGATTACATTGGCAGAGGAAGACAAACCGCGAAGCATTGCTGATGTAGATTCCATCGTGCAAGCTGTTATTCCTGATCAGAACACAGAACCTCGCCTCCACAGTATTGTGACGACGTGTATGATGCACAGGCCCTGTGGAGTGGACAATCCGCATTCGCCGTGTATGGTTGACGGAAGATGCTCCAAACGATTCCCGAAGCAGTTCCGGGATTCAACAAGTTTAGAGGTAGACGGATATCCGGAGTATCGTCGACCGAATGATGGCAGAACGTGCATCTCCGGTGGGAAAACGCTTGATAACCGATCTGTTGTGCCATACAACAGGTATTTGGCGCTTCGTTACAACGGTCATTTGAACGTAGAGATTTGCGAAATGATCCAAGCTGTCAAATACATATACAAATATGTTTACAAAGGACCTGACCGAGCTGCTTTGCGCATGGTGCGGAGAATGGATGGGACAGAAGGCAGAACGATCAACGAGATTGACGAGTTCGTTAATGCAAGATATGTATGTGCACCGGAAGCTGTACATAGACTGCTTGGATTCGATCTTCAGTCAAAGTCCGACACGGTTTATAGGTTGCAAGTCCACCTACCAGATTATCAGTCTGTAACATTCCAAGGAGGAAGAGAAGAAGAGGCACTCCGCCGAGCATCTGAAAGAGACACCACACTGACGGCCTTCTTCAAGCTTAACGTGGAACATGATGTGTTATACGGAGAAAGTGAGGTGCCTCAAGGAGAAAAAGATGCCCGAACACTGCTTTACGTGCAGATACCGGAGTTTTTCTCCTTTGACCAACAAGCGAGGAAGTGGAAGGCGAGAAGAAGGCAGAATCGTCAAATTGGAAGGATGTACACTGCGAATCCACTTGATGTGGAACGTTACAGTCTTCGGATCCTTCTGCTCAACAGGAAAGGACCGAAATCATTCGACGATTTGAAGACTGTTGATGGAGTAATCCACGATACATTCAAAGGAGCAGCGAAGGCGCTCGGATTGATGAATGACGATTCTCATTATGAAAGCTGCCTAAGTGAAGCATCGCAGTTTCACATGCCGGCTCAACTTCGATCTATTTTCAGCACGCTTCTCTGCTTTTGTACTGTCAGTGAGCCTGAGCAGCTATGGGATAAATTCAAGAGAGCTTTGGCGGAGGACTACATCCACCGAGGATTAGACGGTGACGAGGCTGTTGCTCGTGCTTATTTTGACGTCATGGATAAGATGCTGATTTACGGTATCAATCTGGGAAGTCTGATCAGGCCTCCTACCGATCACAGACCAGAGCAACTTAATGACGAGGACTTCACAGTAGCTGAGCACGTTGCACGAGGAGGACGGCTATTTGAACAGCTGAACGAGAACCAGAGAGAAGCTGCTGATAATATCATGAGAACTGTGAACAGTGGCGATGGCCGACACTTCTTCATCGACGGTCCCGGAGGCAGTGGAAAAACGTTCCTCTACAATGCATTATACCACACTTTGCTAGGAATGGGAAAAAACGTGATTTGTGTGGCCTGGACGGGAATAGCTGCGAACTTGCTGCCCAGAGGAAGAACGGCTAGCAGCACTTTTAAACTAAATATCCACGACAACAACAGATCGTGTGCGATGAAAAGAGAGTCTGCAGAGGCCAGAGCTCTTCGTAGCGTGTCTGTCATTTTCTGGGACGAGATATCCATGGTGCCGAAATGGACCCTCGAAGCTGTGGATCTACTCCTCAAGGACGTTATGCAGAATGGTCTTCTGTTCGGAGGGAAAGTGATGATCGTTGGAGGAGACTTCCGCCAGGTCCTTCCAGTTGTGGAGAGAGGAAGACAAGAAGACCTAGAGGGTGCCAGTGTTAAACGCTCTCATTTGTGGCAACACTTTGAGACACTCCACCTTTCGACCAACATGAGAGCATCCCCAGAAAGTGCAGAATGGTCGAACACACTTCTGCAGATCGGCAATGGAACTTACCCGGAAGATGAAAACGGTTTCATCGAGTTGCCCGCTGGAATTCGAAGTAATGGAGACCTCATTGGGGAGATCTTTGGTGAAAGAATTAGTATTAGCGACGTGGGGGACCTTGCAGAAAAGGCTATCCTCGCTCCAAAAAACATACACGTCGCTCACTTGAACGAGCTGGCTCTTCAACGAATGTCTGAGCAATTGGAAATGAAAATATACAAAAGTGTGGATGAAGCCGAGTACTCGGACCCCGAAGACAGTTTAAATTATCAAGTTGAGTTCCTGAACAAGCTCAGTCCTAGCGGAATGCCCCCTCACGAGCTAAGGCTCAAGCAAGGAAGCATCGTAATGCTGCTACGAAACCTCGACGTTTCCAGAGGACTGTGTAATGGCACCAGGCTGATTGTAGACCAGTTAGGAAGATTTGTTCTCGGATGCCGCTTTGCCACAGGAAGCAGAAGAAACGAGTTTGTTCTCCTCCCTCGGATCGATAACTACACCGATAAAGGACTGCCGTTCCGTCTTAGAAGACGTCAGTTCCCAATCCGCCTCGCCTTCGCTACTACCATCAACAAGGCTCAAGGACAGACGCTGTCGAAGGTCGGAGTATATCTCCCTGATGACGTCTTTTCCCACGGCCAACTTTACGTTGCCTTATCAAGAGTACGCAGTTCGACATCGCTCAAGGTGTTATCTCCTCGGGAAAAGGTGCTAAATATTGTGTACAAGAGCGTTTTATAGGCTTTGCGAGAACTACAAAGCTTGGTGACATCAGTATAAACGTTGTATCATTTAATAACTTTTCGATATACTGTATACTAGGTCAGTGAAGTAGTGAAGTTGCGATCCTCTCTGCGCTTTAAAAAGACACACGTAGTATTACGAAGTTGCGACTACTGCTGTGCACAAATGACATGCTTTCCGTTGCTAAACCACGGAATTTTTGCAAAATTTCACTTGGATGGTATGGGCGCTTCGGGTCAACAGTCCTAACGGGTGCATTATTGTCATGTTGTCACCCCACTTAACAGGGCATTAAAAACCTGTGGAAGGGAACACCCTCTCGCATAAACAATTCATACATAGTCGTAGGGCTGAAGGGCACGTGTATCACTGCAGTATATGCAACCTGAATGCATCAACCTTCACTACCTCATCTTAGACCTAATATGCTCAGCCAATTCCGTCCAATGACACAACTTTATATTGGTAGCAGGCGGAAAGAAAAGTTGTCGCTCTGCTCTTCAAACGCAAACTGCACTGCTGTCAAGAACCGAGGCTTCGGAGGAAGAAGAGGAATGGAATTGTGATCATCTAAGGCACCGTGTGCGACGTTTGGACAAAAACGAGCAGATGGAAATAAAAGCACCAGAAATTCAACACGGAACAGTTTGATTAAGGAACGAATTTTGATGACCACAGGAGAGACAATGTGGAGGAGGGTGATCGACCCGCTGTCACTTCTGCTGCGAGAATGGTATGAACTTTCTTCCCATCAACCCTCACAACCCCACTTTTTAGGGAAGAATGACGTAAAAAGCTCCTCCCTATCCGCTGACGACGTACCCAGCCATGTGGTGTTCCTTCCCAAGTCAGAAGAAACGTTTCCATATATGTCAAGTGTAGTGGAGATATTTCTTCACACAGCATCTTACTGTTTGCCAAGTTGCTGTGGGTATCCCATAAAAACGGGCACCGCACTGTAGGTTAGTGCACTGTATTTTCAAGATGGTTATTTTGGCTGAACAATTTCTCCACAGCTGCTCGCTCAGTCATGAGTAAAAGTCGGTGGAAGTCCTCGAGGTGAAATGGAGAAACATTTGAAATTAGTGCCATGAAGAAATGCTCGGAAGAAGGGTGATCGACCCGCTGTCACTTCTGCTGCGAGAATGGTATGAATTTTCTTCCCATCAACCTGCAGACCCTTCACAACCCCCCTTTTTAGCGAAGAATGACGGAAAATGCTCCTCCCTATCCGTTGACGACGAACAGCCATGTGGTGTTCCTTCCCAAGTCAGAAGAAACGTTTCCATATATGTCAAGTGTAGTGGAGATATTTCTTCACACAGCATCTTACTGTTTGCCAAGTTGCTGTGGGTATCCCATACAAACGGGCACCGCACTGTAGGTTAGTGCACTGTATTTTCAAGATGGTTATTTTGGCTGAACAATTTCTTCACAGCTGCTCGCTCAGTCATGAGTAAAAGTCGGTGGAAGTCCTCGAGGTGAAATGGAGAAACATTTGAAATTTGAAATTAGTGCCATGAAGAAATGCTCGGAAGAAGGGTGATCGACCCGCTGTCACTTCTGCTGCGAGAATGGTATGAATTTTCTTCCCATCAACCTGCAGACCCTTACAACCCCCCTTTTTAGCGAAGAATGACGGAAAATGCTCCTCCCTATCCGTTGACGACGAACAGCCATGTGGTGTTCTTTCCCAAGTCAGAAGAAACGTTTCCATATATGTCAAGTGTAGTGGAGATATTTCTTCACACAGCATCTTACTGTTTGCCAAGTTGCTGTGGGTATCCCATACAAACGGGCACCGCACTGTAGGTTAGTGCACTGTATTTTCAAGATGGTTATTTTGGCTGAACAATTTCTCCACAGCTGCTCGCTCAGTCATGAGTAAAAGTCGGTGGAAGTCCTCGAGGTGAAATGGAGAAACATTTGAAATTAGTGCCATGAAGAAATGCTCGGAAGAAGGGTGATCGACCCGCTGTCACTTCTGCTGCGAGAATGGTATGAATTTTCTTCCCATCAACCTGCAGACCCTTACAACCCCCCTTTTTAGCGAAGAATGACGGAAAATGCTCCTCCCTATCCGTTGACGACGAACAGCCATGTGGTGTTCTTTCCCAAGTCAGAAGAAACGTTTCCATATATGTCAAGTGTAGTGGAGATATTTCTTCACACAGCATCTTACTGTTTGCCAAGTTGCTGTGGGTATCCCATACAAACGGGCACCGCACTGTAGGTTAGTGCACTGTATTTTCAAGATGGTTATTTTGGCTGAACAATTTCTTCACAGCTGCTCGCTCAGTCATGAGTAAAAGTTGGTGGAAGTCCTCGAGGTGAAATAGAGAAACATTTGAAATTAGCGTGAAATTAGTGCCACGAAGAAATGCTCGGAAGAAGGGTGATCGACCCGCTGTCACTTCTGCTGCGAGAATGGTATGAATTTTCTTCCCATCAACCTGCAGACCCTTACAACCCCCTTTTTAGCGAAGAATGACGGAAAATGCTCCTCCCTATCCGTTGACGACGAACAGCCATGTGGTGTTCTTTCCCAAGTCAGAAGAAACGTTTCCATATATGTCAAGTGTAGTGGAGATATTTCTTCACACAGCATCTTACTGTTTGCCAAGTTGCTGTGGGTATCCCATACAAACGGGCACCGCACTGTAGGTTAGTGCACTGTATTTTCAAGATGGTTATTTTGGCTGAACAATTTCTTCACAGCTGCTCGCTCAGTCATGAGTAAAAGTCGGTGGAAGTCCTCGAGGTGAAATGGAGAAACACTTGAAATTAGTGTGAAATTAGTGCCACGAAGAAATGCTCGGAAGAAGGGTGATCGACCCGCTGTCACTTCTGCTGCGAGAATGGTATGAATTTTCTTCCCATCAACCTGCAGACCCTTACAACCCCCTTTTTAGCGAAGAATGACGGAAAATGCTCCTCCCTATCCGTTGACGACGAACAGCCATGTGGTGTTCTTTCCCAAGTCAGAAGAAACGTTTCCATATATGTCAAGTGTAGTGGAGATATTTCTTCACACAGCATCTTACTGTTTGCCAAGTTGCTGTGGGTATCCCATACAAACGGGCACCGCACTGTAGGTTAGTGCACTGTATTTTCAAGATGGTTATTTTGGCTGAACAATTTCTTCACAGCTGCTCGCTCAGTCATGAGTAAAAGTCGGTGGAAGTCCTCGAGGTGAAATGGAGAAACATTTGAAATTAGTGCCATGAAGAAATGCTCGGAAGAAGGGTGATCGACCCGCTGTCACTTCTGCTGCGAGAATGGTATGAATTTTCTTCCCATCAACCTGCAGACCCTTACAACCCCCCTTTTTAGCGAAGAATGACGGAAAATGCTCCTCCCTATCCGTTGACGACGAACCCAGCCATGTGGTGTTCCTTCCCAAGTCAGAAGAAACGTTTCCATATATGTCAAGTGTAGTGGAGATATTTCTTCACACAGCATCTTACTGTTTGCCAAGTTGCTGTGGGTATCCCATACAAACGGGCACCGCACTGTAGGTTAGTGCACTGTATTTTCAAGATGGTTATTTTGGCTGAACAATTTCTCCACAGCTGCTCGCTCAGTCATGAGTAAAAGTCGGTGGAAGTCCTCGAGGTGAAATGGAGAAACATTTGAAATTTGAAATTAGTGCCATGAAGAAATGCTCGGAAGAAGGGTGATCGACCCGCTGTCACTTCTGCTGCGAGAATGGTATGAATTTTCTTCCCATCAACCTGCAGACCCTTACAACCCCCCTTTTTAGCGAAGAATGACGGAAAATGCTCCTCCCTATCCGTTGACGACGAACCCAGCCATGTGGTGTTCCTTCCCAAGTCAGAAGAAACGTTTCCATATATGTCAAGTGTAGTGGAGATATTTCTTCACACAGCATCTTACTGTTTGCCAAGTTGCTGTGGGTATCCCATACAAACGGGCACCGCACTGTAGGTTAGTGCACTGTATTTTCAAGATGGTTATTTTGGCTGAACAATTTCTCCACAGCTGCTCGCTCAGTCATGAGTAAAAGTCGGTGGAAGTCCTCGAGGTGAAATGGAGAAACATTTGAAATTAGTGCCATGAAGAAATGCTCGGAAGAAGGGTGATCGACCCGCTGTCACTTCTGCTGCGAGAATAGTATGAATCTCTCTCCCATGATTCTACAAACTCCTACAAATTCACAACCCCTTTTTAGAGGATGATGCCTCCCCTGTCCGGTCAGGATATACCCAGCCATGCTGGGTTCCTTATCAAGTCAATAGGAACGTCTCATATATGCAAGTGTAGTGGGGATATTTCTTTACACAGCCGCACTGTAAGTTAGTCCTCTGCATCTCCAAGATGCTTGGTTTCGCCTAAACTATTCCATGTGGAGCTGCTGGAAATGGCGATGTTTTCAGATGATGAAGATGGAGGTGTTATCGAATATAGGATAACTAGCTTTATAATAGTGACATATGCTCAGATAAAGCATTCGCATTGCCATTGCCGCTCTTATGCGTTTCATGAAAATCAACACCTGTCTGAGGGAAGTATTGTTACACCAGAATCGTTTAACAAAGGAAGTATGGATTTTTGTTGATGAAGGAATTAAAAATTAATTTTCCTCGAAAATTTTCCCTTTTGGAAAAGTATGTCCTACGATTTATTAGTCCTCCTGCGGCCCTTCGGTCCATTGCTGCAGCCGTTGCAATGCAAATTTTCCTTTCCAAAACCGCTTCTTCCCCTAGCTAGGGTGAGTTAGGCTTCTTTGACGTAACAGCTAATGTCCTCGCAAATGGCTTCCGTGTAAACTTCGATGTAGAAAGTTTTCCAGGTTATCCCATGAGTTATGTGTTAGGATTGTTTTCAAGTAAATTTTGATTTCTATTACTAGTGCGATATATTCTTGCAGGAAGGTCAAGAGGTTACCAATCTGTCGTTTATTGCCCTGAGTAGTTCTTGAAATCTTCTCAAGAAGTAGTAGCAGTTAGAAACTCGATTCCAGTATACTGATCTACTTTTGACTACCATCTTACTCATATGAGCCTCACGCTTCAAAGAACGTTAGCGTAGATACCTCTTTTCAGGCTGTATTCTTCCAGAATTCATATTTTTACATTGCTAAACAAGGGAAACCTTTCACAGACAGCAGTGGCCTCACGGAATGTGAATTCCGCAGCTCACAACACTGCATGCAGTAGCATGCGTAACGGTGAACATGCGATACTATTCCATCTTTGATTGAAATTTGCAATCGACTCATTGTTCATTCAAGGGTTCAGCAGCTAGAGAAGAGCGTCCCTCACCACACGAAATAGAAGCCATATTGAGAGCAACCAGAAAATTTCTAATGATATAAGCATAAAGTTACTGCTAGCTTTCCAACCGTTTGCCTGTGCTTATCTAAGAAAATATAGAGATTTCCCCTAATAGTGCATATGCTGACACCAGTCACATCGCCTAACGCCGGACTCATTACCTTTCTATAATAAAGTAATACAGAATGAGTCTCTCAAGTACTCAACGTGTTCTAATTCGTCCGAAGGGAAACCTCTAGCGAGCACTGTGGCGAGGCCGTGCTCACGCCAAAGAGTGCCTGGCGACGTCTGAACGACCTTACTGAACACTGATGAAGACGGGAAAAACCAGGCGCAGCATTCGTCGAAATAAGCTAGGAAATTCCAGAAAAAATAGCAACCGATTACAGCGTAGTCCAAGGAACATGAACAAGTGCACCAAAGTTAGCAAGTTACAAGCGAATGGAATGGGGCAGCCACAGCTGCAGTGAGTAGAGCGTGTGCTGAAATTGGCAAGGCAAAAATTCTGGGCTACGTTGGTCACTTCCACGGCGCTTCAGTACCAGAGAGAGCTCAGTAAAGTGGAGGAGTGGCTGATGAATGAGATCAGAGAATGAAAGTTCCATAAAGAAACAAGTTGCTAAAGTTCATTGATTGAAACTTTAATTTCCTCTGTTGAGACACTTAGGGGTTGGCATCACTAAATGAGTAAGTTAGAGAACTTTGAAACCGATAGCTTCATATCAATTCGAATAACATTGACCTAGAATACCAGCCAGATCACTAGCTAGCGCCGCCGTCAATCCAGTGGAGAGATCCGCCTTGGCGGCCTAGCACTGCTTTACTGCACTGCTTTTAATACTTGCCTGATGCC